TTTCATGAAGTCATGAGACTAAACCGAGGCCCACGGACCTTCACGAAACTCGTTGGTCGAAGAACGAGTCACTTAGGCCTTTTTGGAGTCAAGCACGACCATGTTTAAGAGAGGCACGCCCATGCCCAGCTTAGGCACGTCCGTGCCTGAGCCTCAGAAACTAAGGGAAATTCTCTGGAAGTGAGGCACGCCCGTGTCACATAGAGGCACGTTCGTGTCTATGCTACTGCCTTTGATTCTGCATATGAGGCACGTCCGTGCCTGGAGTCCAGAAGATGAGAAGAACCTTACTCGAACTGAGGCACGTCCGTGCCTCTTAGGAGGATGCGCTGAATTTTCTTACGTTTTCTTAACTTTTTGTTGGGAGTCCCCAGACTTTATTTTATTTCACTATCAAGCATTCCTTATTAGACCTAGTTTTCTCTAAAACTTTTACGTTGCTTTTGTAATTCAAGATTCAAGTTCTACTTTTGCAATCTCCATTTTATTTCAAGATTTGGTATTTTCCTTTCATCCCTTATTTCTTAATTATGTTTTCTTTGATTATTTTTGCTATTGCTTATTTCAATATGTGTGAGTAGTTTTTATATTCCAAGATCTAGGGGTAGCCCAATTGTGATTGATGCATGAATTGATTCTTTAAATTCTCTAATGACAATTGCGATTATTTATGCTAAATTGATTGTGATTATGCCAATACTAGATTACAGATAATTAGTATTGTTATTATTCCATAGTTTTAATCACAAAGAGATTTGGGTTTTAATGGATTTGAGTAGATCAATTTAAGGTTTGAGATTCATCACGAGAGTAGTTAAATTGATAATTGGGAAGCGAAGTAAAGTGTTTGATGTCTCTAATTTGCATGATTAATTCCATGAGAATAGGTTTGATTGTGGTTAGAGAAGCCATTGATACTCGAGAGAGGTCCTTGGTATTGATTAGGGTTTGCTTTTCCCCATGTTAATTGGATTTGTATGCTAGGGGTAGATAGATAATTGCATCGATCGTAATTGTGGTGATACTTGATCTTGGATGTTTTAGTTCATTGATTTATCACATTCTTTAGATTTATTGAATTCTTTATATATTAGTTCTTAGAATATTTCACCATTGATTGTTACTTGCTTAGTGATTATTTGAGTCTATTTAATTAGGTGAACCTTAGTCTCTTGGGATTCGATCCTTACTTGCCCGTCTACATAGTAGTGGTCTTGTTAGGTTATTTTTGGTAGGTACGCGACACGCCTATCAGTTATGTACTTGTTTGTTTGTTTAGTAAGAGGACAATAAAATGATAAGAAGTGAAATTGTGTTATATACTTGTTTGTTTGTTTAGTAAGAGGACAATAAAAGTGCTTGTCTTATTTTGAAATCTAATAATAAGGGAGCCTAAAAGAAGATGGGCCAGCATTATAATGGGTAGAATTTGGATTGTTATGGGCCAGCTTGAATGATTGAATCATTAGGCTTAGTAGAGTAGAATTTGGATTGTAATTATAGGGCAATGAGTTCAACACTAAGAATATATACAACATTGAGGTAGATGTAACCAAACGTGACTTAAGTAAAAGGGAATTGATAATAAATGTTGTAACAAATTTCTTTACGTTTTTGTTAACAAATCTAACTTTTTTCTTTAAATTGTGACTTCGTGTTGGAAGAGTGTAAAAAAAAAATTTATATGTGATAAAGTGTGAGGAAAAGTCATAATTAAATGGTGAGAGTGTAGACATCTACTTTTGGTCTCCTGACCCGACCGAAAGTTTTGTGATGATAAATAATTCCATCTTTGTGCTGGATTGGAGTAAGAAATGCTTTTGGACTACTGATTAAAGCCTAAACACATAAAACTAGCTAGCTTGACCCAAACGAAATGAACTAAAAGCTCATTATCACTAAACCCGATCAGAAATTAGGCCTAATCCAAAAATTAAACCTATTAATTTCGGACGGATTTAGAGCGCCTAGGTTAAAAACTAGGGTTACCGTAGGAAAATCCGCACGCAACTCATGAAGTCGCGCTCGCCTGGCGCGCGCAAAAAAGAATAACGACATTCGTTGCAATGTAGACTTTTCATGATTAATGCTTGAAAATAAAATCAATTAACTTAGTTTTTAGGAATCACGTTGCACATATTATTTGGTAATGAAATTGTGAAAAGGAAGAGCTAGTAGAGGCCGCACTAGGATTGCTGTTTGGGGGTTTTTTATGTGTCCTACGGGAGAGTTACAATTTCCTAGTATGCTCCTTCCTTAGCCTGTACCTGCACAAATAACGGGATACTCCGGCTGGGTCTGGGGTGTTCCGCCTCCGAAGATTAAGTTAGTCTCTTTCTTAATGAGGAAATAAGACAATAAATTCTTCTCGATTTGAGAGCGTTTGCAAGGGGATTTGTGTTTTGTTGGTTTGTGGAAAAATGATTCGATCCCCATTAATGAGGTCTGCCCTTACTATTTATAGTAGGGGAGAGCTGTACCTCAATTAGGGTACAATGACACGTGTCGCAAAGCGATTGGGCCTTTACTGACCGTTGCAATCTTGACACGTGGAAAGCCTTCATAGGGCCACGTGTCTTAGGGTATTTTTACCCTAAACATCTGCCCCTCACAGGTGTGACGTGGCATGTCCACGTGTCACCTGTGACAAGTGTCAGATGCATGGGAGGAAACGGTTTGTCTTCTTCCCTCCTTTTTTCAAATTTCAAGTTTTTTAGGGCAGAAGGCATCGTTTTGCCTTCTGCTCCTTCTCTATAAATGAGACACACTCTCTCTCCTCCACACTTTGCATAATTTTTCAAAAATTTTCTGAGAGAGCTCTGATACCGGCTGCATAACTTCCTAAGTTTCCTTGCATCCGGCATTTTCAAATCAAGCACATCCGGTGACCGGTTGGGTGTTCTTTCTCCAATCTCTAAGGTACCGACTGCTCTTTCCTTTCTACTTTTTAGCTTTCGTTTGAGGACTTTGAACGTTTCACCCCATCCAGGTTGCCTGCCGCCTGGGGGGGCCTTTAACCCATAACCCAGTTGAATCTTCTCCCTCAGCCGACATAGCCCTGTCTAAGGGGTCTTCAACTTTTAAGAATTATGCATTCTAAACACCCCCATCCGGTTTAACACCGTCTGGGGGGTCTTCGATTCTTTCCCAAATAAACTTATATATATATATATATATATTTGTTTTTTTTAACACCGCCTGGGGTATTTCTGAGCTTTTATCAAGAAATGATTTCAAAAACCCCAACCGGTTTTAAAGCCAGTTGGGTCATCATCCTTGCCTCTTTCTGGAGTTAATGCATCCCCATCCGGTGACTCACCGTCTAGGTATTTGCTCTGCCAAGTGATGATTTTAAATACCCCAACCGGTTTCAAAGCCGGATGGGTTATCATTCTTTGTCTTTCCGAGACCTTTTCAATTTGTAAGATGCGTTCAATGCACCCCCATCCGGTGACTCACCGTCTGGGTATTGTTTGAACATGCCTTTTTGAAACAACTCTCTATATCCTCCTCCGGTATTTTACCGTTTGAGGTATTTGTTGACCCTAGATGCTGATGCGGCACCTACATCTGGCATCTTTACCGGATGGGGTTTCTCTGAATCAACTTTCCTGATGCCGTCTAGGGTATCATGGAGTGAGCCTCAATTCTTTTTACTACGCCAATTCCTATCACAATTTTCCCATCCGGTGTTATACCGTTTGGGGGTACTTCTAACCTAGCTCACTGAATACCGTCTGGGGTATTTTTCAGTGAACTGTACAATTAATCTAGTTAAGTTTTACAATAATGCAAGTCATAAACCCCCATCCGGTCTTAAACCGTCTGGGGTACTTTTGACCTAGCTCACTGAATACCGTCTGGGGTATCATAGAGCTTTACAATTTTCTAGCTAGTCATTACAAACGTTTGTAAAGAAACCCCATTCGACCTTATGCCGTCTGGGATACTTCTGACCCACCTCATTAAACACCGTCTGGGGGGTTTTTGGGCGAGTTAATGAATAACCGGCTAAGTATCTACTTTGTCTTTTTCAGCTTTAAACATTTTCGCGGAGTTCCCTGTTTGAGGTGACTTCAAGCCAACTCACTTTCTCATTTCAAAGGTACCGCCTGCATCCCATACTTGTCACTTTCTTTTATTTCCGGTTGCATAGTATTAGGATATGAACTCCACCAATGCACACACGGCACAGCCTACGACTGTGATTAGCCGGTCACCAGGAACGGCTGAGTCTAGGACTGGGATTGCCGTCTGGGGGTGCTTGTAACAACCTTCACCTATATCGAATCCGACCGTCTCTGTTCATGTGCAGGACAAAATGGCTCGAATCAGAGTGACGGCAATCGACCCTGAATACCAGTCCGATGATGCAGCCGCTGATCCGGCTGACCCTATAAATCAAGAACAAGCCGAGGAACCAGCTGAGGTGGGTCCTAATGAGGAAGTTCCGAAAAATTCTCCGAATACACCTAGCACACCGGGTGACAGTATCTTGGATAACTCTGGTTCCAACGCTGAGGAATCCGGAGAGGTAACCGGAGAGGGATCCGGTGAAAAATCCGGGGAGGGGTCAGCTGATAATGGGGAGTCCGGCCCTGGCCCTGATGAAGAGTCTTCTGAAGAGGCGGCTCCCATTGAAGAAGAGGCTTACAAATGGCCGGCTAAGGGCGACCCGACTGATATGACCATGTCCGCCAGGGATGTGGTTACTTTGAACGCCACACTCCCTGCTTTTTTACAGAAGAAGCCGGTTGGAGAGGGATGGGAAGTGGTCGTCCCGCCTGTAGAGGCAAGCGTCGTTTGGACCGATGACGTGGACCATGCCGACAACTTCTTCGGCTGCTACGAGGGGTGCCCCATCACTGCATTAAAGCCATACTAAAGGGGTATGACTTAGGTGTATGGCAGTTGACCGCCGGCTGCGTAGATACAACGCGGCCTTGCTAGGAAGGAAATGCGCTCTCCCTAGAGTACCGGGAGAGGCATGGGACAAAATAATGCAGAAGGGTCTTTTTCTGAAGACAACCGCCCCACTAGATGACGGGGGTGAGATCATAGTTCCCCAATTTTGGGTGCCCCATCCGGACTGGTTTAAGGATGAGGGTTTTTTGTCCCTTTATAACTTAAGCATTATGTTTAACAAGGGTAGGTTTACTGATTGATCAAATTTTTCCCGGATGGGTATGCTTTGTATGATCTCTAACCATATTTTCTTTTCTTGTTTTGTAGAAGAAGCAAAAAGAATGGTGCCACCAGAGAAGACACCGGCTACTTCTGCCATTCTCTTGAGGAAGAAGCAGCTGGAAGAGAAGAAGGCGGCGATGGCCGCCAAAAATGCCGGGGTAGTCTTTCCTTAACCATCTTGTTTACAGTTTTTTTTCTTTTGCCGGATGTACCTTTTACCTTGTTACAAAGATTTTTTACCGGATGCATCCTATTGTGACTGTTTTCAGGCCGGGAGCCAAGTCATACCTCGCTCTGTAGCGAGTATGCAAAAACGACCGGCTGGGAATATTCCCAAGCCTGCCGCCAAAGTGCCTAGGGTGGCGGCTCCTGCCCCGGCTGCTGGTCAGAAAGAGAAGACGCCTGACAAGGACAGGCCAACAACTGCAGGGAAGAGCCTGCAATTCACTCCCCACTTTGAAATGGTGGTGGAGTCAGCAAGACCGGATGCTCGTACTCAGACGAGCTCCGGTTCTTTAGCGGCTGGGGGGGCTTTGACCCCACAGTCCGAGAAAGGTAAAAATTCTGCCTTTGATCCCCCCTAGCCGCTTGGGCATATGAGAGTAAAAACCCAAGCAAGCCAATCCGGGGATTCTTCTGGACACCACCTGGATATAGGCGAGGCATATACCCAATACCTTACAGATGATTCTATGCTTGCAGATACAACCTCCAGCCGTCCAAACTACCAGCAATATGCTAAGAGGATGGTGAAGACCATCACTCGGTCTGAGAGAGAAGCTGTGCCGGCTGTACACACGGTTAATCTTGACCGAATCACTTTTCTCCTTGTTGAGGTACATAAACCGGATGGCATATGTTTAAGCAATAATCTTTTTTACCGGATGCAAGTACTTTGTTTTTGATCTTTCCTAACACTTTTCCCGGCTGATATTGCAGACGCTGCTGAGAGTTGATGGGCTTAGCGTCCCTCTTCGCAAGAAGCAGGAGGAGGTAAGAAACGCTCAGAAGCTCGCATCTGAGCTTATTGACGTTTGCCAATTCAATGCCATTTCATATGACTTGGAAACTGAACAAAGGAAGTTGCAACAGGAGGAACTGCAGAAGAAGGCGACTGCGGCTGGGGAGGCGTCATTGCAGAGAGTTGATGAGCTTGAGCTCCAGGTCAAAAATCTTCAAACTGACCTTAAAGCCCTAGAGAATGCTGACAAGGAAAATGTCAATCTCCGGAAGGACAACAGCCGGCTGGTAGCTGAACTTGCAAACAATCAGGCGGCTCTTAAGAAAGAGCTGGAACAGGAACAACTCCGCCTGATTGCAGAAAATGAGGCCGACTGCGAAGAACGTATGAAGCTCACTTGGAGCCTGATCCATCCGGATATCGAGTACGAATACTGGAATCTTCGATACCAGTATGCCTCTGAGGTTTATGAGGCTAAGGTACTCGGGACTGACCCTCCTCCTGCTTTTGACGAGTGGGTTGAGCGCAACAATGCGATTACGCCGGATGGGGCCAATCAAGAAGCGCAAGTGGAGGATCAGCAAGTGGTGGAGCAGTCGGTCGAAGTTCCAGTCGATGAAACTCAGCAGCCAGAGCCTCAACAACAACAACAACCTCAACAGCAACAACCATAAACATTTTCTATCTTCTTTTCCGGCCTGCGAGCCGAGTATCTTTGAATGTAACTTTCCCGGACGGGGGTCAGGTTAACATTTCTACAAATTTTTAATCTAGTAACCGACGCAGTCGGTTTTGCCATTCTATTATTTGCATTTTGTTTTTATTCATGCATTTTTACAAGTTTTTACAATTTTTTACTTCTCATCCGGTTAACATGATCAGCTGTTCTATTTTCGCCGGATGAGGCCACGGTACCATGGTATGCCCCTGAAATGGCCAACTGTTTACTCCAACGGTAAACAGGCAGCCGTTTCATTGGCAGCCGGATGGGTGATCAATGGTTGATCTACTCCTGCCCCGGTTGGTACAATAAAATGCCCCTGAAATGGCCAACTGTTTACTCCCAACGGTAAACAGGCAGCCGTTTCATTGGCAGCCGGATGGGTGATCAATGTTTGATCTACTCCTGCCCCGGCTGGTACAATAAAATGCCCTTGAAATGGCCAACTGTTTACTCCAACGGTAAACAGGCAGCCGTTTCATTGGCAGCCGGATGGGTTGTAAAACTGTTTGGGTGGCTTTTAGATGATACTCGGTTGTAGCAACCCACTAGGAATTTCATTTTTCCAGATGGACCACGTTTGGGTCCTTGCCTGATGAATCCTAGATGCGAAGGATCATTTCTAACGGCTGCAAGTTTCTTTTAAGAAAATGCCGTTTGAGTTTTTTTGATCGCTAGAACAATGTACCACCCGGAAGGGAGCTGTTCTCTTCAACGATTTCACCCGGATGGGTGTCGCCGAATGACTGCTCTGTTTGGAGCAATGGTTTTTAACAAGTGTTCTTCTGCCTGTTTTCTTGCACTAGACAGGTGCTAATACAGTTGTATGAATGGAAATTATATGTTTTCACATTTCAATACTATTTACAAAAATTTACAAAATCCTTAGAAGTAGTACTTTTTCAAGCTATCTACATTCTAGGTACGAGGCAGCCGCATTCCATCTGGGGTTTCCAGGCGGTATGTGCCGTTTCTAACTTCTTCAAAAATCCGGTAGGGTCTTTCCCAGTTTGGGGTCCATTTCCCTTGTTCGTTCCCCCTACCGGTTGCCTCAAGCTTTCGTAACACAAATCTCCAACTATGAGGGGACGTTTATGCACCCTTTTGTTGTAGGCCCTCGTCATTCGTAGACGGTAGATTTCATGACGCAAGGCGGCGTTGCCCCTTTTTTCAGGAAGAGTATCCAAAGCCAGGCGCATGGCTTCACAATTTGCCTCTTCATCATATAACATGATTCGAAGTGTTGGCTCATACAATTCAATGGAAAGCACCGCCTCTGTGCCATATGCCATAAGAAATGGAGTTTCACCGGTTGACCCCTTCTCAGTAGTTCTGATAGACCAAAGAACATGAGTCAATTCCTCTGCCCAAAGACCGCCTGCCTTTTCAATCTTTTTCTTTATGCCGCCTGAGATGAGCTTGTTAAAAGCTTCAACTTGACCGTTTGCTTGAGGACGGCCGACGGATGCAAAGTAATGGGAAATCCCTTGATCTTGCAACCAAGTCTTTAGGACAGGCGTTTCGAACTGGGGGCCATTGTCAAAGACCATTGACATTGGTACACCGAACCGGGTGATGACATTTCTCCAGATGAAGGAGATGACATCCTTAGTTTTGATGCCTTTTACCGCCTCGGCCTCAACCCACTTGGTGAAGTAATCAACAGCCTCCAAAATGTATCTTTTGCCGCCTGGGGCAGGTGTGTATGGCCCCAAAATCTCCATGCCCCATTTGGCAAAGGGAATAGGGCTGTCTGATCAGCCGGCCAAACTTCTGGCACTTGTCACATCTTTTTACCAGATCTAATGCATCTGCCTCAAGGGTGGGCCAAAAGTATCCTTGCCGCCTGGCTCTTTTGGCAAGTGTCTTTCCGTCAATGTGCGATCCATAGAAGCCGGCATGCAGATCTTCCAGTATTTCCTTTCCCCTTTCTGGGGTTACACATTTGAATAGCGGCTGCAGGTAACCCTTCCGGAAGAGTTCACCTTTGTGCATTACGAAGCTTAATGCTTGCCTTTTAAGAGCAGCCGCCTCTGATGAGACACCCGGTAGGGTGCCGTCTACCAGGTAATCCCGGATGGGGTCCATCCAAGTGGAGCTTCGATCTAGAACTCCAATGGGGTCGTGTTCAATGCTTTTCTTTTCCATGACTTCCCAGAAGACTGACATAGGCGTATCACATGTGGCGGATGATGCGAGTTTTGATAGTGCATCCGCCTGATTATTCTCGGACCAGGGTACTTGACTTAGATTGAATTCATCAAATGCCCTAGCCTCCTCTTTGACCGCCTGAAGATACTTAATCATCACCGGATGGGTGGCCTCATAGTCACCGTTGTACTGGCTAACGATGAGTTGAGAATCAAAACAAACGTCAACTTTCCTTGCCCCGGCTGCCTTACACATGCGGATACCGGCTAGCAGGGCCTCGTATTCAGCTTCATTATTTGAAGCTTGAAATTTGAATCGTAGAGCATATTCGTATTTGTCCCCCTCTGGAGAATGACAAATTACGCCTGCCCCACAACCATTCACAGTAGAGCTCCCGTCTACATAAACTTTCCAAACTTAATCAGTTTTATCCGGCTGTATCGGCCTTGTCATTTCAACAATGAAGTCGGCAAACGCCTACCCCTTCACTGCCCGCCTAGGTTCGAAAGTGATTTTTAGACTTTGAATTTCCACAGCCCATTTAATCATTCTTCCGGATGACTCTAAAGTCGTCATAGGCCTTTTAAGCGGTTGGTCAGTGTAGACGGTCACTGGATGAGCCAGGAAATAAGGTTTCAACCGCTTGACTGCCTTGAACAATGCCAGACCGAATTTTTCAATCATGGGGTAGCGAAACTCATCATTCCGGAGGACGTGGCTTATAAAGTAGACCGTGAGCTGGTTGCCGTCTCTCTCAGCAAGGAGAACGACACTTAAGGAATGATCTGAGACGGCCAAGTACATGTAGACAGCCTCCTTGGGTAGGGGACTCACTAATCTTGGCAAAGAATGCAAGTGTTGCTTCAGCCTTTGAAACGCCGCCTCAACCTCTTCACCCCATTCAAACCTCGACCTCTTTTTGATTGCTTGAAAGAAATACAGGCACTTGTCACCTGACCGGCTGAGGAATCTCCCCAATGCCGCCAGGCAACCGGTAAGCTTTTGAGCCTCCCTGACGGTACGAGGCGATTGCATGTCAATCACCGCCTGCACTTTGTCCGGATTAGCCTCTATGCCTCTCTGATCAATCAAAAATCCGAGAAACTTCCCAGACTCAACTCCAAATACGCATTTTTTCGGGTTTAACATGACTTTATGCCGCCTGAGGGTGGTGAAGGTTTCTCGGAGATCGGCTATATGATCCGCCTGTAGCTTTGACTTGACTATCATGTCATCGATGTACGCCTCCACATTCCTTCCAATCTGATCATAAAAGACCGAGTTCATCATTCGTTGGAAAGTGGCGTGCGCATTCTTCAACCCAAACGGCATCACCGTGTAGCAGTATAGCCGTTGATCTGTGAAGAAAGCCGTCTTCTCTTGGTCTTTCTTCCACAAGGGTATTTGATGGAAGCCGGAGTAGGCATCCATGAAACTCATCAGGGCATGGCCGGCTGTAGAGTCTACCAAATGATCTATCTTTGGAAGTGGGTATCTTTTGGATAAGCTCTGTTCAAGTCCGTGTAATCTATACACATCCGCCAGGTTCCATTCGGCTTTTTCACAAGGACAACATTGGCTACCCAATCCGGGTAGTAACATTGCCTGATGAACCCAGCATCTAGGAGTTTCTTGACCTCGGTTTGGGACCTTTCCTCGCCATGGTTCCTTTTCTTTTGCCTGTCCGTCTTCTTCTTAGGATCCACAGCGAGTTTATGAACAGCAAGATCCGGACTTATACTCGACATCTCTTCTACTTCAAAGGCAAACACATCTTTGAACTCCTTCAGCAAAAGGAGCAAATCAGGTCCCAAACTTTCAAAAGCAACCGTTCCAATCTTGACGGTTCTGTCTGGCCGGCTGTCTTCAAGGACAATGTCAATTATTTCTCCAGCCGGCTGGGGGCGAAGGACGTCTGGCCTCTCCCCTGACAGTGATTGCTATTGTTTCTCCTTTACAGGCGCCAGTTGGTCCGCCTTCCTCTTTTTACCGGCTAACTTAGTAGCCGGTAAGCTTTGATCACAGTCGTCAAGTTCAACTATTTCTTTCTCTTGACCGTCTGTGTCAAGCGTTGGTTTGATGTCCGAGAGGTAACACTCTCTCGCCATTTTTTGGTCCCCACTCAAGGAACCGACTGTGCCATCATCCCTCTCAAACTTGATCAACATTAGGGATGGGATGATGATTGCTTTTGAGATGTTAAGGGTTGGGCGGCCAATAATCAAGTTGTAGGCAGTCAGCTATCCTACAACAAGAAACTTGACAACCATGTGCCGACCCTTTCCCTTTTCTCCGAACCGGATGGGTAGATCAATCATGCCCACCGGATGTACTACTCATCCCCCAAAACCAACAAGAGGGTATGAGGCCGGATGCATGCTACTGGGCTTGTACTTGAGTTTTTTCAAGCAACGGTAGTTTATGAGGTCAGATGAGCTCCCGGTATCAATCAAGATCCGGCCAACTCTTTAATTGGCGATTTTACACTCGATGACTATGGGGTCATCATGAGGCCGCCTGACCTCTCCTCTATCTTTCTCGGAGATGTTAACTTCCGGAAATGAATATTCAGACGACTTGCCCTCATCCACTGAGTTGACCAGTTTCCGAATGTTATCCTTTGTGCCCCGGATGGTAGGCCCACCTCCCGCAAATCCTCCGGCTATGGTCAGGATGGTCTCCTCATCCGTATCCGATTGAGTAGCCAGGGTCTTGGGGGAAGGTCCTTTTACTTGTTTGGGAACACCCTTTGCCTTGGATAGATAGGATTTGAGAGCCCCCTCGTCAGCAAGCCTATCAAAG